CCCAACACTGATAATGTATGATTTTCAGAAATGGACTAACAGTATAAAGTGAAAAATGTGAAAACGCTCAGAACAGCTTTATCTGTGAGAAAACATTTAGCTGTTTTGGTTTTAGTAGCTTCTGGACTATGCTGGAGACACAGCTGGAGATTCACAGTACCCTCGTGGTCTGAGTCAGTTGCTCAGGAACTGACTTTGCCTTCATAGGGCTGTCTGATCACAGCTGTAGGTTTTCCCACCTGCAGGCCAAATACAAAGCAGAAAGAAAGGTTAAGTGACCTTTGTTTACAGTACCTCATCCAGAGCTGGTTGCTTCTGACATTCAGTCTTGTGATAGGTGCTTTTGAGTGAAGCCATCTTTCTGGGCGCTTTATGTTTAATTTTCAATGTCAATTTAAAAACAAGAAATTATGCATTTGCCTCATTAATAGTTTCATTTGAAACAAGGTAGAAACAGGATAATCATACAACTTAATGAATTATTCACTATTCCCAAAACATATGTGGGAAATTCACCCACTTGTTGTTGACCTACAGTCAATATAAAGTTATCCAGCAACCAGTGAGTTTAACTAAGCTTGGCATTAAGACTGGAAACAGAGGGTAGCAGCTGGCCTGTTTTATCCTTAGCTAAAAATAACTACTAGTGCCTCTAAAGCTCACTAATTAGCATGCTACAGTATATGTTTTCTTTGTTTAATTAATAAAAATACTGAACAATGCCAGGCTGTGATACTGTGGGGGACTTTGTGTTGGGCTGCTTCTAGGTCAGGCATAGCATCTTCTTTAAACCTGACAACACATTTTTATGGCCACTGGCAAAACTGTTAGCAAACAGTTGCCTGTTTGTACATGCCACTGACCGTGCAACATAAGAATTTATTTTAAGATGTCTTGACAAAAATACTGTACAGTAAGTCTGATATTCACTCTCCTTTTAGCTGTTTTTGTTTCCACCGACTCTCAAGGGAAACATCTCACTCTTTAACTGCTAAGTGATCCGCTATGTTCACCCGCTAGTTGCTAACTGTGTCTGTTGTTTGGTGCTGATCATGTACTGTACAGGGGGGTTTACAGCTTTTTCACTCAAAATAGTTGTCTGCTGTTTGTGAAACATATGCAGTGAGAGCAGTGAGGTTGCAAGCCAGGAAAACCAAAACAATGAGCTGGACAATGCTAAAATGTTCCATAGAGCTGAGGGGAACTGCTGGGTCAGGTGAGAAATGAACTTAATTTGTCACTATGAGCAACCCATTTCACATACTTATCAAATCCAGTCAAGACATATTGATTTTGGCCATTTGAATAAATATTATTGTGCATGCTATCACTGCTACTATTTCCCTTGTTTTATTTTTTCAAACTTTATATTTTTGTCACTCAAATAAAATGGTTGAAAGCAATGTTGTGCACCAAGTAACAAATAAAGCTTTAGGGAGGCCAGTGATGACTGGCAACATTTTACTCACTGGGTGATGTTTGCTAATAAAGAAACTTAATGGGACTAGACTGACCTGATCCCTTTGTTTGATTCTTTTGTAAACAAACTCAGAGAAGGGCTTTCTGTGGATGTATCTGCCATGTCCTGGTGATACATTCAGCCGTCCTTCCTCATAGACCACGCTGCCTCTGGAGATGGTGATGACAGGGACACCGTGGCACTCCATGCCCTCGAAGATGTTGTAGTCCACAGCCTGGTGGTGGGTCTTGGCTGATATTGTCCTACCAAAACACAGACAGCCACAGGTTTGCAAATGGCTGTAGAAGACTACTTTAAAACTAACCTTCTTGATCAGATGCAGCCCTTGTGATTAGTGAGGTAACCATCACATGCTTTCTGAATACCAAGCTAAAAGAAAAAACAGATCTATTGTGAGGCCTTAACCCTCTATGGCATGGTGTTGCCCTGAGGCAACAAACCAGTATTTTGGCCCACACATAGTCCCTTTAAATGTTTTTAAAATAAAAATCACATTAAAAGCCTGATGATAAGTCTATGACCAATGAAATTTGAGGTGGGAGTGGATTTGACCTTTCCTCTGGAGGTGGAACAGTCCTTTTTGGGACCATAGCCAGCTTGGACACACTGCTAGCAGAAGGTAAGATAAATTTTACTTTTTAACATGTTGAAATTTAAATAAATTTGTATAAATAATATCTGTGATGTGCATGGATATGTGAAGAAGCATATTTGATTGAGTAAAGACACTTTTTGTCTTTATTTATATACTAAAATGGTATAACATGCTAATGGATGGAGATGTGCAGGGATGCATAGTTATCACCATAGTCAATTTTTTGGCTGTACTATGTACATTACTCACAGGAAATTGATGCATGAACATTTTATGGGTGTAAGGGACATGATCGAGCAGTTAGGTTCATTCCTACTAACAGTGAGGACAGTGGGCTTGAGGAGAGTGACAGTGAGGAGGAGTGGACCCCAAAATCAGGTTTGAGGGAGAGTTAGGAGATCAGGGTCCAGTCAATAGAGTAACATATTGTATGTAATGAACATGTGTGTGCATGTGCATACTGTATATGTGTGTGTGTGCGCACGCATCAGTGGGTGAAGAGAGGTATATGACCTATTCTAATCGTATGCTTCCTGGTTTCTTTTGAAAACAGATGGCCTGTCTGATGACCACCAGCTAATGTTCCACTTCATCGACATGACCATCGTGACTGCCTGGCTGCTCTACGAGACTGCAGCAGCACTTGGATGAGAAAAGAGGAACAGATGAAGCTTCATACGTTCAAGTCGTATATTGCAGAAAGCTTATGCAAAAGTGACATGAATCTGGAGCGTAAGAGAGGTTGTCCCAGTTCCACAGTTGCTGGGGAGTATGAAGAAAAGAGGAGAAGAGGACCCACTACAACCATTCTGGTCCCTGATGTGCGTCTGGACACCACAGCCCACTGGATGGTCATGGATGAAAAGAAAGGGAGATGCAAGGTACCTGGATGCAAAGGTACACCTAAAGCCAAGTGCCAAAAATGTGACGTCCACCTCTGTTTCACGTCCACCAGCAACTGCTTTCTGAGGTTCCACACAGAATAATACAGACACTGCTTTGTAAAAAAGAGAAATAGTACCCCACAGGAACACACATTCTGTAACACAAACACACACTGCAGCTAATCTCTAACCTGCTGACTGATAAACCATTTATAGCTGATGTTTGTTGAAATAAAACTTGTTGGAATTGTTGTTGTTGTTGAAATAAAACTTCTTCTAATGTATTTATTGCTTGTTTCTTCCTCATCCCACATATTATATAATATAGAAAACCTTGGTGTTTTAGTACCCTTATAGCATCTTGTTGACCTGAGGCAACAAACCAAAATCTGGTGGGGGGGCTGGGGAGGACACATTTTATGATTGATATAATATCAAAATTCAAAAATTCATGCCATAGAGGGTTAATGCATTTTATTCTAATCTGAAATTGACTGAATCAGACCAAGATGTACTCAAACACAGCATCAAGTTACTGCAGCTCACTTACTGTGCAGCAACAAGCAATATAGTGTATTATTTACAGTATATGACATTTGCTTATGTAGTGATCTTTTCTGGAAAAGCTTACTAAGCACATAAGCCAGGCTTCTTTCAGCCAGAAAAAATGCACCTCAACAGTTTCAATCCTGCTTATTGCCTTATTGTGGCACCTGTCCAAAGGCTACTGTGTGTACACTGCCACTTAATATTGCAGCATTCTAATTACTGCATTAGTACTGAAATACAAAGACATCGTAATTCACCACTGGCACGAGCCTTTTACCTTCATAACAGTGTATTTAGTTTATATTTTTAAATTTTGCTGATAATACCTCTGCTCTTGTATTTAAGATTATAAATATAGGCTATTTGCTTTCACGACATCCTCAGGGCTAGTCTTCGTGTCCAGAGATCGAGTTGTCGGGGCCCCTGCCTTCGACCGCTGCCCAATCCACTACACACAGGCCCCTTACGGATCCTCTTATAGGTGATGGGCCCATGGGAGGACGTCCCCATGTCGCTTGTTCGGCCTGGCCACCAGGCACTTGCATTAAAGCCCTAACCCCGGGCCTGGCTCCAGGGTGGGGCCCTGGTTGCGCCATACCAGGTGGCATCACGGTCCTTGAGTTTTGTCTTTTCATAAGGGGATCTCGAACCACTCTTAGTGTGACCTGTCACCTAGGACCTGTTTGCCTTGGGAGACCCTACCAGGGGCATATAGCCCCTGACAACATAATGCTTAGGATAATTCGGGTACTCAAACCCCTCCACCATGATAAGATGGTGGTTTCTGCCTCAAGTGGAGGAGTTCAAGTATCTTGGGTTCTTGTCCATGAGTGAGGGAAGGATGGAACGGAAGATTGACAGGCGGATCGGTGCAGCTTTTGCAGTAATGCGGTCGATGTACCAGTCTGCCATGGTGAAGGAGCTGAGCTGTAAGGTGACGCTCTCGATTTACTGGTCGATCTACGTTCCGACTCTCACCTATGGTCATGAGCTTTGGGTCATGACTGAAAGGGCAAGATCCCAGATACAGGCGGCCAAAATGAGCTTTTTCCGCAGGGTGGCCAGGCGCACCCTTAAAGATAGGGGAGGACCTCGGTCACTCGGGAGGAGCTCAGAGTAGAACCGCTGCTCCTCCACGTTGAGAGGATGCTTGGGCATCTGTTTTGGATGCCTCCTGGGTGCCATCCTGGGGAGGTGTTCCGGGCATGTCCCACTGGGAGGAGGCCCCAGGGAAGACCTAGGACATGCTGGAGGGAGCTGGAGGGACTATGTCTCTCGGCTGGCCTGGGAATGCCTCAGCATTCCCCCGGAGGAGCTGGAGGAAGTGTCTGGAGAGAGGGAAGTCTGGGCATCTTTGCTTAGACTACTGCCTCCGCGGCCCAGTCTCGGATAAGCGGAAGAAGATTGATGGATGGATGCTTTTGCCACTTGGCAGAACTGACATACTGCACCTTTTAAGCTAATATGTCAAACTATTTGGCAAATACTTGCCACACATCCAGCAGATAATGGGCAACATTAGCATTTATGCTTCTATCCACATGATTAATCTAAATCTAATATTCACTCTACTTTTAATTTTGTTTTTGCTTACCATGACTCCTGAGAAAATATCAGCTTGTCTGCTCAAAGACATCTTGCCCCTAATCAACACGTCCATATTAGATCTGCTCAACCTCTCTCTGTTAACAGGCTATGTTCCACAGGTCTATAAGGTTGCTGTAGTTAAACCTCTACTCAAAAAGCCTGCTCTTGACCCAGGTGTTCTGGCTAGTTATAGACTGATATCCAATGTCCTGTTTATTTCTAAAATACTTGAAAAAGCTGTTGCAAAGCAGTTACGTGACTAGCTGCACAGGAATGATTTGTTTGAGGATTTTCAGTCAGGATTTAGAGTCCATCATAGTACAGAAACTTTATTGATCCCACAGTGGGGAAATTTCTGTGTTACAGCAGCAGTAGAGAACAACCATCATAACACCATAAGAACAGACACATACGAACAGAACTTCATAAAAACAGAGAAAAGAACACAACAAGGACACAGCTGCTGTAAGTCACCAACAATCTTCTCCTAGCCTCAAAGGACTCATCTCCATACTTGTCCTCTTAGATCTCAGTGCTGGTTTTGACACCATTGATCACAGCATCTTACTACAGAGAGCTGAACATGTTATTGGGATTAAAGGAACTGCACTAAGTTGGTTAAAATCTTACCTATCAGAAAGATTCCAATTTTTTTTTCATGTTAATGATGTACAGTATTTTCCATGCAGACTAAAGTTAGCCACAGCGTTCCACAAGGCTCTGTGTTAGGTCCAATTTTCTTCACTTTATACATGCTCCCTTTAGGCAATATTATCAGGAAACACAACATAAATTTCCATTGCTATGCAGATGATACTCGGTTATATTTATCTATGAAACCAAATGAATCAGATCAGTTGGTCAAACTTCAAGCATGTCTTAAAAACATAAAGGCCTGGATGACTTGTAATTTCTTACATCTAAATTCTGACAAATGTGAACTTATTGTACTTGGGCCTGAAAATCTTTGAAATCTGCTGTCTAAACATACAGTTAATCTGGATGACATAGCTCTGGCCTCCTGTACTGTTGTGACCAGGATATGTCCTTTAAATCACACATAAACCAAGTCTCTAGACATACCTTCTTTCACTTGTGCAATTTTGCCAAAATCAGGAACAAAGTGATGTTGAAAAACTGGTCCATGCATTTGTTACTTCCAGGCTGGACTACTGTAACTCTTTACTATCAGGATGTCCCAATAATTCCCCGAAACCCTCCAATTAATCCAAAATGCTGCAGCCAGAGTACTGACAGGAACTAGCAAGAGAGATCATATCTCTCCCATATTAGCTTCTCTCCACTGGCTCCCTGTAAAATTCAGAATAGAATTTAAAATCCTTCTCCTAACATACAAAGCCCTTAATGACAAGGCTCCATCGTATCTTAAAGACCTCGTAGAGCCTTATCATCCTAACAGAGCACTTCGCTCTCAGAGTACAGGTTTACTTGTGGTTCCTAGA